TAGTTCAATATGACTTTTATATAATTTCATTGACTCCGACTTGAACTCAAATAGTCTTCTCGAGTAAAATGGTTTGTGAAGACATTATGGGGTAAATAACCTAAAGCAGACTACTATAAATTCTACTATGAATACAAATATACAATATTTCGGAGGTTAGATAAGTCACAAATTGTACATAAATATATAAGCTTCATGCTATATTACAATAATACGATGTAAACCTGTATACAATGTTAGATTATTACCGGTCATTGAACAATATCATGGCAAGGTTGTATAGATTAAATCAAATATAATTTTTTTTAATAGGATGTCAGCGCACCGTTTGTTTTCTCTCTCCGGCTCACACGCAACATAGACAAAACGCATTAAGCAGAATCATTTCTTTTTTATGGTTTTGAGTAATCTTAGAGTAAAATCAACCATTACACAAACGATAGAGAATAATATTTTGGAGGGTATGACATACCGATTTGTCTAAATATTGTCTCAAAACAGTTTAAACATCATTTAAATTTACAAACATTTTTTTTTTGAAAGTCGAATACAAAGTCAGATAATAATAAAATATAAAATCGATGTCATATTATCCTCAAAAATATTATGCTCTATAATGTTTTTAATAAGTAATTTTACTCTAAGATTACTCAAAAGCCATAAAAACGATTTTAGGTTAAATTGTTTTATCTGTGTTACGCGCGGGCCTGAAAAAGAAATCAAATATTGAGCTGACATACTCTTAATAGTGTAAGTATAACATATTAACATAGGTAATATATTATTATAATACTATATGTCAATACTGCCTAATCTAACCTATTTGTTACAGTTTCGTCAATTAGGGCGTACTTTATACCCCTAAAACATCCATAGATCTATTTAAAGAGTAATGACTTCGTTCTAGTGTAATATTATGTCTGGCTTGCAAACCTTTAATAAGTACTGTGTAATGCATACAGCGTACCTACCAGGATTCAAAACGATTGTGTCCCGTGCCTTGTTCGGCGGGGTGCAAGTAGACAGGGATTGAATAGGGTCGATTACTGCTCAGGGTGATAGCATATTATTATTATTTAATGGAAATATATAGGGAAGAGACAACAATGTTTTCTCGACCCTTGAACCTTGATGATACCGTGTAATATTAATTGAGCAAAAGGGAAGTGGTGTACCTACATTTGCCTGTAGAAATTAAAAAAAAATTAATTATTTTCTGCACATTTCTGCGGTAACAATATTAATTTGGAAATGTACAATGAAGATTCTGGTAGTGTCTATATAGAACACGCCTATGTACCAGCGACAAATGTAAGTTGTAACTACCCTTCAATATAGTTGATAGTTATCTTCTGATGATAGTGGCGCAACTAGGGTGGGGGCTCTAACGGAGTTTAAGCCTCCCTTAGTCTCCGAATTGACTCTCATCCAATTTTTAGGGCCTATTTAGTATCTTTAATATTGATGGAGACGCAGGTCAAAGCAGAAATGCTTTAGGAAAAAAACGTACTTATGACCAATAGTATCCAGATTCCAGGTCATATGAATATTCAATTAATACAATAATCACTATTCGTCAAGTAATATAGTTCGATGTTGATGAATTTCAACAAAATATGAAAATCTCTAAAATTGTATTGTTTAGAAATTAATTAATAGTACCTATGTGTAGGTATTTATGAATATTTTTTTTTGTGATTTGTCTATTAAATTTTTTTTTTTGTTATAAGCTCCACGTTGAAGCCGAGAAAATTAAAATAATATCATCACAACATCTGCCTCAGGTAGACCACGCGGTACGATAATAAGCGAGAAATAAGACGTCGCTTGGGCAACTTTATCGCACTTAGCTTATTATAGTTTAGTAGTGGCGTCATAACTAACATAGACAAACATACAGTACACACCGTTCTGGAGCGTTACATTACTGCTATCTATTGTATTCAATAAACTAAATTACAATTTACGCCGAAGTACGGATTATATAATTTATCAAATATCCCCTCCGACCGCATCACATAGTATTGTGTTTTTATTTAAATCTAGTTAAGGCTGTAGCTCCTCCCCCCACGAGTTTGACCCTAGTTATGTCTAGTTATGCACCTGACAACCAAATACTCAAACAGGTACGACTTACCTATATAAATATATTATAATATTTGTCGATGGTAAAGATATAAAACACACGCGCCTGGCCGGGCGTATTACCATGTGCGCAATGCGTCGTGTATATAAAATAATATAACCTATTATTCAAACATTGTATGTATCTTTGTATCACATTACCGACGCATATTTGGTAAGTACCTTTTCGGATAATTCGGTGATAAACAAGGCAATTCGTAACTAAGTGTTACGGATGAATAAATATTTAAAGACGGTTGGTGAATGAAAAAAAAAATTAATGGAGGTACCTAAATTTACCATAATTCATAAACGAGTTTAATAACTAACAATACATCAAATCGCAGATCAACGATTTTTTTTTTTTTTAGTTATTCATTTCTCTCCCCTATTTGCATTTCAAATTTGTACTTGGCATACTCGAGATTGTAGATATCGGACTACCCATAAATGAACACATTCATATCAACAAAAAAAGCGGTTCAACGATTCAAAATTTGTCAACAGCGGTAATTTTATGAACATTTATTCGCAAATTTGAATTATAAAACACACGGATAGGTATGTTGTTAAAATGAATTTAAAAAAAGTCAAGTCAGCATTTACAACGTTCATATAAGATAAACTTAGCGTAAGTAAAATCCGTATTCACTATATTCAACCTCAACGATGTATTATTATAACCATAGGTACCTATCTATACTTACCTATAAAATTCTCAAAACTTAACTATACCTATCTAGTGGCTAATATGACAAGCGACAACAATAATACATCATAGCATTCGAAAGGTAATTATTACAAGTAGACCTCGATTTGCTGCAGTTGGTCGAGTAACGAGTTAGTTCGTAATTTAGTATTTATAATACGTTTTTAAAATGCTAACAATATTTTGTAACAAATGATATACAAAACTCCATAACAAAATAATACAATACATAATATAGTACTAATCTTGTTTCAAATAGTTAATTCATCAAACTCAACATTCCGAAAAATACACATTTCGCAGCTGTTTAAAATTTAAAACACTACTTTCTCATCATGTATTAATAAATCTCGAATTAAAATTTAAAAATGTATAAATTAAACACCATAGTTGTGTGATAATGTGTCTACGATAAGAATAAGATGAAAAATAGATAAGTTTTGGGTTATAAGATGACTTAAAGCAAGAAAGACTTGCCTTGTCACGTCAGTTTACTATGTATTCGAACCAAATTTGCAAATCCAATATCTTAAGATGTGTTGTCTACAATTATCTCAATTTTACCAAGTAGTGAATTGACCCCCTTCAACTCCACCTAAAATAGATAGAATTAAAACCCTGTTAGATAAAGTTAAAAAATTGACGCATTGGGTACCTAAAAAGTTGTGACTTTTAATCAAAACAATAAAATGTGAGTATTTTCAGTCAGTAGCGTGTTCAGCTTTTTTGAATGAATAATTGGAATAATTGGATATAAATTGTTTGCCGTTTGCGGATCCCGTAAAATAAAAAAACAATTGTAGTCATACATTTGCCTGCTGGTGGCTGTAAATAAATTTATAATAATAACCCTAGTCTTAAAATACAGAAATATTTTAACAAAGTTGTTTCATATATAATTTCATATTTTATATAAAATACAGTTCTAAAACGTATCTCCATTCCCCCTAAATATTCAAAATATTGCACAAAAGTTTCCATATCAATAGACGATTCCTCAAGAAAATTATAAACTAAATTATCGTAGTACCTACCTATTTTCCTTAAACACAAACATTATTATGAACCTACATTATAAATCTTACCAACTATTAACATATGCCTATTACCTACACATTTCAAGGCGAACTTAGATGCAATTTCTAGGCGTTCTCAGAATATTAGTTATTACTAACTATTGATACAAATTTCAATCTGTTTTTTTTTATATTTTAATTTTTAGTTATGTAATTGAAACAATAATGTACCTATCCTATATCACCTAATTTACCTAATTATTTTAAACACCTGATTAAGATTATAATAGTCGTTATTATTTTAGAATAAAAACATAGCAACAAATATATTGATTATTATTGATTTACAATTTGTTAAAAAAAAAATTCTTTGTCTAGGTACAGGGTACACGATAAGTAGTTGAAATAATGCTTTGATTTTCAACTTCAGTATCTTTTTCAGTGCGAAAGTGAATCTAGTTAATACATTCGAGAAGTCAAAATTTAAGTCAGTAGGTTTCAAAAGAGCTGAGAAAAACAAAAAAAAACTAAGAAAAGTTACATGAAATGACCACTGAATGTTTATGTTAGCATTTTCTATACATCTAAAATGTTCAAAATATTTTGACTCATGTTGAGCTATTTATAGACATATGCAATTTTCGATTTCATTAGTTTTTTCTAAATTAATATCGATAAAAAATGTTTGGCCAGGCCAAAAACCTTGAAAATGTAATACAAGGTTTCTTATATATTGTAACAACAGCAGTAGATGTAAAATATTAAAAATACATACATACAATTTATTTTAAAGGCATTATAAGTTCAAATGTTGACAAAATTTATCAAATTGAAAATTTACAAATTATTTTGTAGTTAAAAATTTTAACTTTTTATAACTAAAAATTGAAAATATAAAACAAGATAAACGCAAGTAATGAATTATGTAACCAAAAAATCTGAAAAATTATATTAACACTGTTTTTTGTATAGTTATTTAAAGTTGATATTAGATATTTAAACAAAGTATAACGATTTGGTTATAATGAGTAAAATAAAAACCTTAGGCAGGTCACATTTTAATATCACACAGTATAGGACAATTTTTAAAATTAAGCAATCGATAAAAATACAATTATTTCTATTGATGACAATAATATTAGGTATTTAAAATATAATAGTGATGTAAATTAAAAAATAAATCGTACAAAAATAAATTGCGTCAAAACATGTTGAAATATTATGTGTGGCGTAAATATTATTACTTATCACTGTGATAAAATTGTTAGTTGGCTAAAATGATTAAGACCTTTGGTATAATATACCCAATTACCATTATACGCATATTATAATAATTATTAATTACAATCGATATGACTATATGAGCCAATATTATACGTGGAAAACGTCTAATGCTCGAACAATTTGAAACGGATAAAATGAGTAAAATATAACTTTCATCATTTTAGTAAACTTTTGAATAGTGAAGAAAATCGGAAATCGGAATACAACAAAAACATGGTTGTAAATTAGTAACCGAAAAACAGTAAGATCAACACTGAAATTTGCAATTTAACGCACTAGCTCCGAACAAAGAATTGAAGTAAAAATATAAATTGTGTATAAAATTAACACATTTCAGTCAAAAAGAACTGTATAATTCATTTGTGGAGCGAATAAAAGGCTTAGCAGTTTGCTCAAAACTTTTCGTTAGTATAAGATGAAATTCCTTGAACAGTTTACTACCATTGCGACATATGTAAATTACGATCGCTTGCACCTCAAGTAATATTTTACGACACAATTTAAAAATTCAACTCAACTCAAAATTTAGTAAAAATCAATAAAAATGCGTCTCTGTAGTTATAGGTACACACCTTAACTAGGAATATCCAATTTCCAGACTTCAATAAAAAAAGAACCCGCTCTCGACCTTAAAAGTCACTGTACATGTACAGTCTGTCTTTGCCTTTAGTTTAACAATTTTTGACTTGACACAATTAGGAGCACGAAGCCGCCGCGCTCGAAGCCGATGACAAAATGGGTTCGATCTCGTGTACGATGCACAAGTTGTTGGCGGCCACGATATCTGCGTAGACCTCTTGCTCGATCAGCACCTTTAAAGGCATCCACGAGATTATTGCCAAGCCACCATGATCGCTGGGCACCAGGTACCTGACAACTTTAGCCAACATGGACAGCCAGCCTCCGCAATGAGCACTGCTGAACTCGAGGAACACGAACGCGTGGCTATACACGGGGTTGGGCTTGAACAAGCCGAACATATTGAACATCTTGGCCACTGCGTAAACGTTGGCGACGGACAGCTGCGTGTACAGCGGATAGCCAACAATTATCAGATCATCGCCGTCTGACAGGGCTTGCAACGCGTCCACGATGGCCGCCAGACACCGGTGCTGTAAGGCGGTGTTATCAGAGGCGTGTTCATCACAAACGTCCGTCAGATCGCAAACGACAGAGCGTGGCTTGTGCATCTTCGTGCGGTAGTGCGACAGCCGGCATTCGGCGTCCACGGCGACACCACTTCGAGGGAACCTGGACAACACTCGGTGCCTGTAGTTTATCAGCGCCTCGCTACAAAACTTGGAACCCTTGACCACGGTCACCGGTTTTCCCATGCGGAACGCTACATCCGATAGCCGGTATATGAGGTTCACGGAACTGCACCAGACTACGTCGTCTGTGTACCGTCGAACAGCCCTCCACTCGTGGCACTGGGCTACCTCCTGATACAGCGCGCCCGCCTCCTGCCCCGCGTCCATGTGCCGGATACGCGTCTTCTCTGCGTACGACATGCCGCGTGGCTTGCGGCCAATCCGCAACAGCTCCCAGTTGTGCTTGTGGTTGAAGTTGTTTGACAAGGACGTCAGCTCCTGGGTGTACCGGATCGGCCGCAGATTGAGCCTGGCCATGAACTCCTGGCACATGGACTCCTGTACTGATTTCATCTCACGGTAGAGTGCCTCTCTGCGCTGCAGACCATCCACGTTGGCGTCGATGGTGCGAATCTGCATGTGAGCAAAGTGCTCTGCACACTCGAACAGCTTCCGCCTGAACTCGACGGGTACCAGCGACAGCGGAAACATGCAGGCGCCTCCCAGGCCCACCTTCCGGTGCTGGTCGTCCGCATAGTACGCTTGCACGTACGGCATGGCCACCGACCGGCCCCTGTAGCCCTTGCACACTACGTACACTTCCGAGTTGCCCGGCTTGCTGGTCGCCGGTTTCCTGAGCACCACCGACCGGAACAGGCAGCACAGCAAGAATATCCGGCAGATGGTGTTGCACTCGAACATAGTGAACGCCTTCAGCACCAGCGATCCGTTGTCTCGGAGCACGCTGAGCGCCACCATTGTCTCGTGGTCGTGCAGCCGGGACACCACCGTCTCCTGTTCACCGGGGTCATCCGAACAGTCAACGCTCCCATCTGCCGTCACTAGCCACGCACCTTTTCCGCTGAACCGCTCCAGTACCGTCCGGTACAGGTGTTCGGCGTACCCCGGTTGGAATATGTCGCCAGTATAATCCGGACCGAATTCCCAATTCGGAAGCGTGTGCAGTATCAGCCGTTCGTCGGTCACGATGTCTGGGTGCCCGTTGGACTCGTGGTACGGATTCAAGGTCATCGCCAGCCAGTCAAGCCGCAGATCTTCGTAGTTGATAGCCAAGAAATGGTTGAGCGCCGCAATGAACGCACCAGGCGCCTCGCACAGATGCACGCTGGTGAACGATGTACCACCTTCCTCGCGGATCTCGTCCAACGACACTAGGTCAGAACTGCACGCGATCTCGTAGAACTTGCACCACGCCTGTGTTAGGAAATTTGGACGCACATGCCTCCTCACGTGGTTTACCACCTGGCACGCCGGATTCATTTTTCCCGTGTGCACGTGCCACGCATCCAGATCGAAATCGTTCAATTTCTGTTTGGTGAGATTCAGCAACGTTTTCAGTTCTTGGAACTCGTTCAACATCCACTCGGGCTCGGTGTACATGGCGTTGACGTCCGGCAGTGGCCACCCGGGTTTCAGAACGAACATCTTGCAAAACTCTTTATCGTGTACATAGTACTTCTCCGTCGTCTCTTCTAGTTCTTCTAGGAAAAACATTTTCTCTGAGAGCTGTCTTGCTTGATTGCAGTTTTCATCAGTGTACAAACATTACCATCGTAACTTGTGGCTTTTGTTTGCAGGTACAGTAATTATTATTTCTACCTGAAATCACGACACAAATATGTAAAATTAATCATCAATAATTAATATTAAAATAGCACAGCTATATTATTTAGCATTACTATTTGCAAAGAATATCCGGTGTTTTCTTCTCTGCACTCAATTATGGAACGGAAAATTCAAAACACCACAAAATAAATTGTATTTCATCTAATAAACTCATACAAATATGTCGATGATCGATCACAGTAGGTACTATCAGCGTAATTGAAGGGTGGACCAGAGTACCTATAAGCTATAACCCTTTAAATATTTTTTTAAATAAAATTTACAACATGACCTTTTTTCGACACAACATAACTGCAAACATGGCTCCTGTAAACTTAAAATACAGTGATTTAACTTTTATATTTATATTTAATTATTCTTTTTAAATTTATCATTAAAAATGAATAAGATTGGTTAAGAAGATCTCAACGCACTTATTTCACGATCTTAGCCATGTGCAACATAGCAAACTTGAGTTCAGCAAAACCAGGGGTATTGAAAACTCCTACTCCTTCTCATGGGACAGACCTTTATATTAATAATAACAATGTATCAACAGAATGTGGCATATAAAGATTTGAAGATGTAAAAATTGTTTTGTTTAGAGTAAGGTAATAGGGGGGAGTACTTTATCCCTAACTGATCTATTCAGCATACATTTATTCTGCCTCAACCACAAGAAACCATGATTTAAGCACTGGTAGATACATAAGACTACCTATAATAGACAAGATAATGGATAAGGACCACTACTATCAAAAACAGGAAATTTCAACAAGCGTGGCTTTTGAACGTTTTTTTTTTAAATAACAATTAACAAAATATTACTAATGTGTAATTAAGTATAATTTTATTTATAAAATGTAGTGTAAAAAATGTAATAATGACCTATAAAAAGGTCTTTGTTGAATAAAAAGTTGTACATGGCTGAACATAGGCGTTGAATGGGGGAGGGGGCTTAGAAGGCATAGCCCCTCATACATTTTTAGAATATATATATATATTATGTAGTAATATGTACCCGAAACATTAAATAATGTAGCCAAGGGGAGTATAAAATTCATTGTATTATGCCTATATGGCTGATACATGTGCTATGAAAATTGAGTAAAGAGTAGGCACAGTGTGCGGTGTTTGAACAAAGGTTAAAAAGTAAAAATCACTATTCTAAGTAGTGGTCCTTATTCATTATCTTATCTACAACCCATAAATTGTAGGTATTAGGTACTCAAAGTTCAAACGTACCTACTGTTGCAGTCAGAATACTTGGTGGTATAAAATAGATTCTAAAATCTAGATTATCAATATTTCCAATAACACATTTGGTATACTAAACATAAAAAAAATATTGTATAGATACACTTAAAAGTTATACTTGTGTATGACAACTAACACTGTCATTAAAACAAATTTTTGATCATCACTGTTAATTTCAAAAGTATCTCATTGAATGTTTATAAAATCGAATGGTCTATTAAAAAATTTATCCAAAAAATGTACGCAAGGTTTTGGCTACAAGAACATCGCTCAGCTAATTATACTCAATCAAGACAGTTTAAAAGAAGTAAACACAAATATGGAATCCAAAGAACATCTATGGGATATATTTTAATAAAATATACACTTAATAATTTTTAAATTAATAAATAATGTTTTCTTATGACAAATAAAAAATATGGTTTTTTTTTAAATATTATATTTAACTTTCTAATTAATAGTAGTATGTTAGTATGTAAAGTATTTAAAATAGGTGTAAATTGGTATACCATCCACATTTTGAAGACATAACTTATGTGGTTAAAATCTAATCCATTGCTTTTAGATATTCTGTATGTTTATCCATTGTATATTATATCCAATTATATATTGTCAAAGTATCATCTACTGATAAGACTAATAATATAAAAATAATGAAGTCTTCCAAATATTTAACATAATTGCTTTATATTACAAATTGTTATTAGGTATTTAGGTAAAATAAATTAACCACCAAGATGAAATAAAAATAACCTCATAATTATTTTAAGTTACATTTACTTCATGTAGGGTATATATTTACTTTAAAAATAGTTACTAGAAAATTAATTCTCTAATACAGAAATTATTTTATTTTGCTGTATTTGGTATGTGAAGGAAGAATTAAGAAGTTATACCTACTTAGATTTTTAGTTATATTGTAGTCAATAATATTTAATTCAAGTTTCTTAGAACGTTACAAAAACCAAATAAAAAATGATTAATGAATATTTATCATTTGTTTCAAATGTTGAGTAGAAATTATTAAAACTCCTGTATATGTACAAATAGTATAGATATCAAATTTAATATTTAAAAATTCAAACTATTAATGTAAGAATTGGTTTTGTATCATTTATAAGACATGCATGGCACTCAAGCACATAGGCATTTTCAAAACCATTTCACAGATTTGACCAAGTCATTTTTTGGAAATTTCCTAATATAAAATCAGTTACTGAAACTACATAGAAAAATCCTAATTTTGAGGTAATTCAAAGTTTCGGGTCTGTAAGCGTAAACTGTAAGTAAACACGCCTATGATCAGTCCTCAGGCAAATTGATAGAAAACTATACATAAATAAACTACAAATATGAACGGGCAGTCAAAAATCTCTGGGAACCTCAAATCTTACAGGGCTTTTTAGTATAGACATTGAATAAAAATGAATTGAACATTTAAGTTACAAGCATTTTAATTAATTTACCTCAACATGTAAGATAGGCCTAAAAGCTAGAGGACAATGTATTTAGTAACTAGATATCTAATATCTAATATTTATATTATGTTTCTAAATTCAGACGATTACGTAAACAACATACATAAATTCAATAGTGACCTAATTCCATTTAACTGAATCATTTTTCACCGCGATTACTATTAAAGTGTAAGTAGATATTTAGCATACAAAAAAAAAAAAAATAGTATATTATAAGTACCTGTGAAGTGCTATTATTAAAATAACATTGGTTGGTTGGATGGTGCTTTGTTAAAAAAAAAAAATACACTAGGTAGGTAACAATAATAAATTGATATTATTCTGAAAAAATTAAATGAAACAAAATTTAAAACTTAAGAATAATTTAACTGCTAATGATTGTTACTTCTTATTTTTAAGCACTACTAAAAATGTTTAATGACTTGTGAGACTTAAACATTACGTCATGTCTTAACAAGAAACAAATAAGAAAAAAATGCTAAAGACTACTATAATGTATAGAGCTAACTGCTAATTAGTGATTAATGACTTAGTCCGTGCTATTAATGATTATAATAAATTTGATAAAATTATCACTGCAGTTTGGCACATGGTGAAAAACGTATTGTGTTTTGATAACTCCACCATGCACGTGATAGCTGCAGAACAATAATTTATAATTATCAATGATAGTAAGAAATACGAAATTCGTTAAGTCGTAATACGAAAGCATGAATTTGAAAGTTGAAATATGAATGAATGTATGTCCTATTCTAATATTCAATACTGTCATGTCAATAATGATGAGATGATTAGTGTTGACATGATGTACATCCAAAAAAACGTCAATTGAGTCATCGAGCCATTCGTTCAATGGGCAATGGTTAATTGCCAAAATTCTGTCGATTATCGTCATTTAAATACATGAATTTGAACTACGATTTAAGATTTGTTTATTTTTTATTTGCTATGTTAAATCTTGATTTGAACTAATTGTTTAGTTATTATCAGCATATCTTACCTTTCATAATAAATTATATTTTTATACTATTCAAATTTTGTTTTATTTTTTATTTTTCTGGAGTTTACGATACAATGAAACGAAATCGAAAGCAACCTAATGGATTTGAAAAGTGGGTATGTACATAGAAAAAATATATAAGTACATGCAAATCTGTTTAACAATTCATTTTGCAGGGGGGTTACATGGAAGCTAAGAAGACCAAACTTGAAGAACAATTCACAGAAAAAGCCGCTAGTGATAGTAACCATGTGAAAAGTCAAATTTTTAAAGGCATTTCGATCTTTGTCAATGGGTATACTGGTATGTATAACTATAAATATATAAATTGTTAATGTGAATTAAGTATGATAGTAATGTGTTTGTAAATCTAGAATTTTAGTTTTAAGGATACAAATAGATCATTATTCTAGTCCACAATTAATTTTGTATGAGCTGTTATACCAACAGTTAAATTATTTAAGTATCTTAGCCATGATGCATGTATTGACTAATACACTTAGTCAACATAAATGAAATTTATTATATTTGTACTGTAGTATTTGGATTTAAATTAGAGTATTTTTATATCGTTAACTTTATAACTAAATCTATAGTTTAGTATATTTATTTTTATTTTTACTAAATTAAATGTAGTTGTTATTCTAAGCTTGGAATCGGTAATACCTATATTATATTTTTTTATGTCATTATTGTGTTACAATATTTTAAATCAATTTTTTTGGTTCAAGAAGTTATTTATGTACATTATGAGAGTTGATTTGTACTCTACCATTTTAAATGTTTTTATCACCCTCTTGTAATAGGTATGAAACACAATATACTTAAATAATTGCACTACCTAACATGTATTTTTAATGCATTTTAGAGCCTTCAGCTGATGAATTGAAACGTATAATGATGGAGAATGGAGGAGTTTACCACCACTACCACAGACCTAACATTACTACACATATAATAGCAAGCAACTTGCCCACTGCCAAATTAAAACTACTCAAACAGTTCAAAATTGTAAAACCTGAATGGATATCTGATAGTCTAAAAGAAGAAAAACTTTTAAACTATGGAAGCTATTTACTTTTTATTGATAAACCAAATCAACCAAAAATTGATTTCCCAATTCGTGCAAAAAATGCTTCAGAACCAACATTTCTATCTGAATTCTACAAAAATTCCCGATTGCACTTAATAGCAACTATGGCAACGACATTCAAACATTTAGTAAATGATACACGAAAAAGGAATCAAACTGATTATCCTGGGCGACAACGATTGATGAAATGGATTGAACAAAATGGAGTTAAAGACTTGTTAACGAATGACTCTGAGCTTGACTTGGGCAAAATAATCATGCACATTGACATGGATTGTTTTTTTGTCTCTGCTGGCTTAGTTGAAAGACCAGAACTGCGAGGTCTGCCTGTAGCTGTTACACATGCCAAAGGAAACTTGTCTAAGAAAAGAGAAGGGGTAGATCTTGGAGCGGAGTTTGGTTTGTATGTTAAACGCTGGAGAGGTGATGATAATGAAAATGACGAAGAAGAAGTACAAGAAATTAGACCTCGATCAACTAAAAGGGATGGTATTAATGAAACAGATTCAATGGCAGAGATTGCTTGTTGTAGTTATGAAGCTAGAAAAGTTGGTATTAAAAACGGCATGCTGGTTGGTAAAGCATTAAAGATTTGTCCAGCTCTAAAATTAATACCTTATAATTTTGAGCAATACAAAAGAGTAGCTTATACTCTATACACTCACATTATGAATGAGTAAGTAGTATTTATTATAAATTAAAATTCAATGTAATTAAAATTATAAATTCTAAATTTAATGTATATTATATCCTTTACTATGTTCAAAATAAGATCCTGGCGGCCAAGTTGTGTTCTCGGGCATGGCTTTGTTCCAAAGTCGACTTGGTAGGGGAAGTGTCTAGCCACTGACAAAAACTGGTCGTCGCCTGATAATGATCTTATTTTGAACAGACTAAGATAGGTGATCTCCATAGTTGTAATTAAGTATACCTTAGTAGAATTATTATTTATTACTTATAATTTAAAGTATTCTCCCTCCAGATTTAAACTAGCCCTATTGGCTTGAGTCTCCAGCTCCATTTTATTTTACACAAGGGCAATACAAAATAATTCAAAGCTCTGGACCTTAACATTTTTATTTTATCTTCAATTGGTCTATAGAAGTTACTACAAATACAAATTTATATAGCTGAGCAGGGACATCACTATGCTAAAATTATAGGAACCCTAGTTAGATGGACTCTGAATAAATGCATTAATAGTCCTCCCACCCTAGGAAAAAATCCTTGCTACGCTACTGATTTCCACATGTTTTTCCAGAAATAATTTCAAATTTAAATTTTTACATCATTTTTTTTTGACTAAAGGTTAGTAATTTAAAAAAAAAGATTCTTATACTTAAATTATGTAAATTAGAATTTTTTAAATAATAATTAATTTTTAAAATTTTACTCTAAATATCGATACATAACAATATACATTTTATTTTACAATGCAGTTATACATTAGACGTGGAAGCTGTTAGTTGTGATGAATTATATTTAGATTGTTCGCATATTCTTGAGACTACAAAAGCATCACCTTTTGAATTAGCGACATTTCTACGAAAAGAAATTAAAGTAAATATTGTTTTATAACATGATAATTTTTAATTTATATTTATTCTATTATACTGTGAATTTTCATCTTATAGGAAAAAACTCAGTGTCCATGTTCTACTGGTATTGGCTCAAATTGTCTGCTAGCCAGGTTAGCCACCAAGAAAGCCAAACCAGATGGTCAGTTTTATTTGGAACCTGGTATTGTAATGGATTTTATGAGAAACATAGATATATCTGATGTTCCAGGTAATTAAAAACAAAAACTTGAGTCATTACCAGCACACAGATTTTTATGGAAAATGGGGATATTCATATTTAATAACTGTAGATAATATCTTTTTTTTTTATTTATTTAGGTATGAGTATAAAATTATTATAGCTCAACTGCTACAATTAATGATGTAATATATAAATGCAGTAAAATTAAGTTGATGAGTTACAGATAATTTGAATAATGTAAAATAGCATAATTATAGCGAGTAGAGATAATTATACTTGTTATTTACTTAATAATGAAGTAAGAAGGGAAAGGAGGGGTTTTAAGATATTTGAGGGTAATGGTAATTAAGTTAATGATATAGAAATAATTTGAACTAGGGAATATATCAGTTGTGAGTACAGCTGTAAGGAGGGAAATGAGGGGATTTATTAATGCAAACAGTTCTGAGATAAATTTGGAAAACGGTTTATTGTTAATTGAGCTATTATATGATAGGATATTATTAAAATTGGCGACGGAGGCATGAGAAGTTTTGAAAAGGTGAGGTGTTGATTTGAGAGTGGGAAATGTTAATAATAATAATATCAATATGCTTGGATTGTGGGAAAACTATAAAAAAGCAGTAAACCTATAATATTCTAAAACACATGCAATTGACTAAAACTTTTGTAGGAAAAATAGCATAGGGGCCAAACATAAAGTAATGAAGGTGCCAGTTGGCTATTGCCATCCAGCCAACTGGGCTAGTCTACTCAAATTGATTTCTAATATTTGTTTTCATTAGGCTTAAATACATTCTACATTTTCTTAAGTAATTGGTTTCTTTTTAATTTTTGATAAGTTTATATTATTTTTCTTGATAAATATTTTATTAAAAACAACTAAATAAATATGTATAAGTACATATAATATTTTGACTTTTATTTTCATTTTTTATTTTTATTAGAATAAACGCCAAGCGGCTTTAGGAACAATATAAACAATACAAGAATTAAAAATCTTTTGATAAATTATGAGTTAAACAAAAAAAAAATGTCACAAAATAAATTTAAATTACATTTAGAACTTATATTGTAATTAGTTGAACAGAGAATAACCTATATTAAAAATTACAATATGAGATACCGAAGCTGACTTTTTGCTACATAAAAATCTGTACCTTAATAAATTACTTATGAATTTTTATATGTATAAACATTAAATGCTGAACTTAATAAAGGTGTTGGAAGGACCTTGGGACATAAATTGTCAACTCTTGGTGTCAGTACATGTGGTGAACTAAGTGCACTGTCGCTGCAAACTCTTCAAAGTGAATTTGGAAACAAAACTGGGCTTTCACTGTATAAGTAATTGTTTAAAAATTTACTTACTTATGTTTTATTTTAAATTGTATGGTATGAATTTATAATATTGAAATTAAGGTAGCCAGAAGTTACAGGAAATAGTATTTTAAAAGGCTGTATCGATATTCCGACAAAAGCTTTTGAACACTTAATTTTCCAATTTTTCATAAAAATGGATTATGTCCCATTTTTATATTCATAAAAATTAGAAAATATACAAAATATACAAATAATAAAAAAGAAAATTACGCAGTTTTATGTATTATAACTGTTGTAATATTATACTATTAAAAAAATGGCAGTTTCAATGTAATTTTTTTTTTTTTAAATGTATAAATAGGTATACAATTAATTTTCTTTTTTTCATTAATTTGAGTAGGTGGTGTAATCGTCCCGTCATCCAAGCCACAAGCCCCCACTAATAGCATTGTAAATACTATATGTGTGTTGATAAGGTTAGGTTATAATTAAGAGACATATTTTTTTGATTTTGTTTGTAATGAGGTTATAACTGTGCCGTATAAGATTTAATTATTTTTATCATGGTAAATTATACTACTTTTTATTTAGAAATAAATAAAATGTAATTATAATTTTTAGGCATTGTCGAGGAGAAGATGATCGAAAACTTAACTATGACTATAAGCCAAAGTCGGTGTCTGCTGAAGTTAATTATGGTATTAGGTTTCAAAATAAAGAAGAGTCAGAGAAGTTTGTAAGACAACTATGTGACGAGGTTGAAAAACGACTTAATGATATAGAAATGAAAGGCAAAACAGTTACCTTAAAGTTAATGGTATTTTTAATAAAATTGTATAACTATTTCTGACAAAAAAGAATCTAATTTGTGCATTCTTTTAGATTCGAAATGCAGAAGCACCAAAAGAGTCCGCAAAATTTTTAGGGCATGGATTTTGTGATAACATTACCAAATCAAGTTCTTTAACTAAATCAACATCAAATTCCATAATAATTTTCCAGTAAGTACTAAAATGAAACACATTCATAGTCTATACTCTATTCTGGATAAGAAATGTACTCGGTGACTTGTGTGTAGGTTCACTGCACATCAGGCATGCAGGTAGTAGACTAGGTATGGATGACAGACTGAATGTGTGGCCTGACCACAGCCAAAAACTGGTCACTACATTGTATGGTTCTTATCCCAAATGGAGTATAGTTATCACTTATCATTGTTTTGAAAATTAATTTTTGTTTAGAGTTGTCAATAAAATAATGAATCAATTGAATATTGATCCATCTGAATTACGTGGAATAGGAATACAGATGAATAAATTAGAAAGCCGCACAGTAACAGCGGCTGGACGTATAGAAAATTTTATATCAAACATGAAATCTGATACAAAAAGAAATCATATTTCTCTTATTGAAAATACTAACAATGATAAAATAATATCAACAAAAGTGTCTGAACCCGAAAGTCTCCAGGGTTCATCTACAGACAATTTTAATAAACCAAAATCTGTCATGGATTTTTTTAAGCCCAAAGAAGACTTAAATTCTAAAAAACATTTAAAGATCTCAAACACCAAATTTAATATCTCACATAAGTCACATGTCAATAATTTAAAAATGTCTCAAGTAGATCCATCATTTCTAGACGCATTGCCTGCAGATTTACGTCTTGAGATAGAAAACGAATTGAAAGCTAATGAAAACCAAAATTCTCTAACCGTTGCAAACGAAAATTCATCCCCAATGGAAATCACAATGACAGAGGAAAGTTCTAAGTTATATCAACATGTGCAGATTGATCAGATGAAAGAATTTATTGAGGAATGGGTGGTCACCGAAAATGAACCAAAAACGTGTGACAATATTATGGTTTCAAAATACTTGTGTAATTTAGTTAGAGATACCAAGACAGAAGACGCCTATGAAATCATAAGAAAACTTTATCGGTAAATTATAAAATATATTTAACCCATATAATTAATTAAAAACCTGTCATTTTATGTTATAGATTAATAAAAAATAAAGACCATTTGGCTTGGAAACAAAGTTACTTTGATATATTAAAAGATGTTCAAGAAGTAATGTTGAATTTGTATAATGCTAAAATGAAAGTTGAAACTAAATTTTAATAATTCAATTTTATATATAATTTTAATTTTTGAGATTGAATAATAAAAAATAAAAAACTATGTACCCAAAATCTATTGCTAAAATATTACACCAATGGTATCTTACATGTTTATGCAACAATAATTCAAGTTAATTAAAAAAATACTATTTTACCGGGCCTCAAGATTTTGTTTGCTCTGAGATACATTTAATGATTTTTTTTAAGGTATAAATACATAAAAGAATGTATACTATACATATAAGTGTGTTTTATTGAACATGTTGCCCTCAATATAATAATTATTTAACACAAACAAATTATCTCATACTTTGCTCTGAATAAAAACAGAATATAAAATAGGTACCTACATAGTTTTTATCTAATAATTTATTTTTACTTTGAACTGTGTCAATAATGTCTTCCGCATCAATATTATTCCATCAATTTTTCTCTATAGTCATAAACACGAATGCCTAATTATTATTTGAATGAACTGCCCTCGACCACCGGAAATAGTCTTGATACTCCCCTGGTGTTGTATGCCACTGCTATCTATCATGTGCATTGGGCGAAGAATTAAAAATTTAGATTAAGTTAATGAGTTTTAAGAAATTAATTTTTAATATTATAAAAAAAAATAGGACCACTTGTTGAAAGGTTGATGGACATAACTTTAATTATTTCTAAAAATTTGATTATTTGCCAAGCATGTCTCACTTAAGCTGAAAAGGTAAACTGTGATGAAAGAAACTAGGCAATTTGTTTAATGGAACATTAGATATGCTTAAAATGTCATAACTTTATTATAGTCCTAATGATTTAATATATTCTCAATGTTGAAGTATTATATTTTAAGATATACACAATTTCTATTTTCAAATATCAAAGTATAAGGCACAACTTCGTAATTTTGTATTTTATAGGTCAGTGGTCGATTCAACTTTTAAATAGGTAAATGAACTAACTAATTTTTTTCAGCAAATCAAGCTTGTCACTCCCATTGTCCCATGGTTCCTAAATTGGCTCATAGCTTATTGAGGAAAAATTTAAAAATTCATCTATTGGGAGCCATGCTCAACAACTGGAAAATGTCAAATGTCATCTTTTACTTAAGTTAAATTAATATTTACAACTAACCTAATCGAGAAATATAATAGGTAATTTATTTAATTGTTCTATTACCTTAACTTGGCCAGGTTAGCTTATTATATTAGGTATGATCACATCTATCATGGTGTCGGGTAGTATGTTGTAATATTAAAATGAAAGTGATTATAAATCATTGCATTTAAAAATTCAGTAACTACTTACAATTGTAAACTTCCGATATTTCTTAACAAAACACCTACATTAGATACCTAACATCCACCTAAATTTTAGACTGTAATAGTACTACATGAAACTGATCACATGTACTAAACAAATTAATTCATAGAATGATAGTAATAATAAAATCATTAATTGTAAAACCAAGTATCTTACTCCTCTCAAATGGAAAAACAAAATTATCAAAATAAATCTTTTAAAATTTAACAGTTTTATATAATGAAAAAAGTTTAACATATTAATTTAAGAATTTTTTATTTTTAGTTGTTTTCTATGTCATATGAGGACAAATAACAAATTCTTACTATAAAATTCACATCATTCCATGAATTTAAACAACTGCGCGTAGCTAATATATTATATATCATTAAGACACTATATGTGTAGATATTTATTTTTAAAATTAAAACATAAAAAATGCATAATACACAATATCTATCATATAAATCTGTAAATTATACAATAGCTTATACATTTAGTTAAGAGTTGCTTAGGTTCCAATATCATATACATGTTACGTTATGTTTTTGTACATATATGTAATTAATTAACTAATATATTTCACAGAAAAATAATATGTACAATAACAAAATGGTAAAAAATAAAAGCATATATTTTTTAATTTAATTTTTATTCAATAATTACACAATTTTAAAACATTAACAAAAAGAGATAAAACTGATTTTAATCATTCATTGGTAAATAAAAATATATATATTAAACATACACAAATATATACCAATACATTAAACTAAAATATATTTAGCATAACATATCAAACTAATTAAATGTTGGTGGTACAGTTTTAAAATGGGGAATTGATTTTGTACAAAAGGCTCTTACTATTTCCATTTAGCTTTACATATTAATCAACAGTTCAATTAGGTTATCATTGGAAAATGTAAATAATATTCAAAGGATCTATTTTGTGTTAATAAAAACTTAGTGTATAAACACCAATCAAGACCATAACTGTCTCCTCAAAAAATCAACATAGCTCAATATAGTTAAATCATTAATATTGTAAGACAATTTGATTTTTGAAAACCTATTAGAAAAATAACTCTTTACTTTTGGTTTTTAACTGCTGATAATCACCAATGAGCAATTTTATTTCATTATTTCATTATGTTTTCAAAATCTTATTCATTTATTGAAACAAATTTTTATTCCCATTCTGTAGTACCAGGTGGTTTTGGTGTGAGGTCATATAATACTCGAGATATACCAGGTATGTTTTGAGCAGCAGCCATCATTTTATGCACAAGCTAAAAATAATTAAATTTTTTAAATAAAAATTATATTTTGAATAGGTACTAAAATATAATTTTTTATCTACTAACTGCAGCGGATATATGTTTCCCAGGTAGCGCAGGAATGCCGGTCATAAAATCTTCTGTAATAAATGGTCTAATGACAACTGAACGTTGACATGATGGATGACGATAAGCGATATCTCGATCAAAGTGTAACGGTACAAGTACTACTGGCATCTGACTTACTTTGCGCATACTAATTGGACACTCTGTTAAAACCTAAAACCCAGAGATATCGTAATAATAAAAAATATTTGACTTAATTTAAATTCTTACTTTATTAACAACATGATCAGCTTCTTTCAGCAAATCTATCACTTGAACATTCAGATATGTGTGTGTTATATCCAATACTTGGTAAACCACAGGTGGACCAGCAATGTAACATACCCTATTGACATTGTGACATACTCTAGGGATTATTCTGGCCAAATATGAAAGATCTTCCCACACGGGTTCAGGGTCTGTACAAGAAATGCCTACCACATAACTGTAAGAACGTTTATCACCCTACAACAAAATTAATTATTTATTTTTAAGGTATAAAAATGTATATAGGCATATAAATACATACTTGAACTCCTACACTTTTAATTGGTAATAGCGTGGCAGACATTTTTTGTTTGGATGAGATTTCTCGCAACAACTTTCGTTCATTTTCAGAAGTTGCATTTTCTATTCTATTTAAAAGTGCATGGCTCTATAAGTAAATAGAAGATTATTATCATTAATATTTAACATTGAAAAAAATGTAGAAGTTAGCATTATAAACAACAAAGATACAATTTTATATCCTGATCAAATAAAATGTTTGTTTTATGGTTTTTAAATTTTGATGTTTTAGTTTACTGTAACTTATGGAAGTAGACAAATTAAGAACAATGGTGCAACCAGAAATATTTGTTCAGACTTACTTTTGAAATTAGTCATTGGAGTTTCAATTTATTACACGTATTCACACAGTACTGTATGTTAATGTTTTATCGTAGTATTAAGAATGTTTTGTTTGTAAAGTATATGAATAATAATTTTTTATTTGGTAATTCTAAGTTTATCCAACCTAATTTAAAATGGCAGAACTAAGTAAACAATTTATATATTTAGTCAAAGTGTAATAAGTAGTAACTCACTATGTTCAGAAGCCAAACTTGTACCTATAAACCAAATTTTCATTACACTATCTTCATAATCATCAAAAAATATACATATTTATAAAAAAATTGGATTTATGCCTTGTTTTCATTTATGTAGTTTTGGGGATATGAGCATAATAGAAAACTGGTGAAATTCAAATATGGCTATAACTTCAAACTAAGTCCAAGTGACAAATCTTATTGCACCATTGTTCTTAACTTGCTGAATTACATGAGTTGAATAGAAAAAATTTAATTGACATGACATTTTTTTTAAATAAAAATTACTATTAAGTTAAATTAACTATTCTTGTATCAATTCAGACATACATACACACATACACACACAAATATAACATACCTTTAAAACCATATCATTGTATTCAACAACAATTTTAACAACAACTTGTGTTTCAGAAAAGTCTTTATCAATAAAAGGTTCTTCTCCACATAATATTCTTATGGCAAGACCCGGTCCAGGGAATGGATGTCTATATACAATACTTTCGCTCAATCCTAAATCCATTCCTAACCTTCTAACCTGAAAAAAAAAATGTATTAACTTGAAATTACACTAAATAAAACATAATATGAACTTACCTCGTCTTTATGAAAATCTTGTAAAGGTTCAATGACACGTCCTTTATCTCGTAATTCACGTATTAACTTGCTATCATTATGATGTGTTTTTATGGTATCTGCATTACTACTAGCTAACCTTGAAGCAGACTCAATTAAGTCTGGTCTTAAAGTTCCTTGAGCCAAGAATACATCTTCAGATGACAAATTTAATGTTTTAAGGAACTTATCAGCAGTCTAAACATGAATAAAAATTAATTTTAATTTTGAATCATCATATAATTATATAAATAAATGAATTATTACCTTGACAAAAACATCACCAATTATTTTTCTTTTTTCTTCTGGATTACTAGTTTGACACAAGGGAGGAGAAATTCTAGTACGATTGGATACATGCAAATCAGGCAGTATAGTTGTACCATATTTAAAATCAAATGTGGCATTTACAGCTGAAAAACAAATTTTATATGAAGTTACAGTAAAGAGAAAAATCTAATTGTATACATACCTTTAACATCTAACCCTAGAGCGTTTAAAGACTTCATTACTTGTTCACTTTCACCCAAACGCATAAAACCATTATCTATGTGCACAGCAATCACTTGTTCTCGATCTAATGCACGGTGTAAAAGTGCAGCACATACTGTGGAATCAACACCACCACTTAATAGGACCAAAACTTTACTCTGGCCAACTTGATGTCTTATGTATTTAATACATTCCTGTTCACGACTTTTGACTGTATAGCTTCCTGCTAATCCAACCACATCATAAAGGAAGGCCTTAAGCATTTGAGTTCCTTGTTCTGTTAAATTTACCTGATATATGTATTTTTTAAACAAAACAAAAATTTAATTAATTTAATTTTTATAAGTAAAGGACATACAACTGTAACTAACCTCAGGATGAAATTGAAGACCATACATTTTTTTTGTATCATTGCCAATAGCAGCAACCATATTATTGGATGTAGCTATCACTTTAAAGGTATCTGCAACTTTGACAACATGATCCCCGTGTGTAAGTAGAACGCTTTGAGTCTTACTCAATGATCTACAAGATTAAAAGAAATCAAAACTTGAACTATACTGTTTTCATTATGAACTTACTTAAATAATAAACATTGACAATCAACATCAATATTATAAATACCATCTTCACGACCAATAGTTGCAGCAACTTGGCCACCAAATTCTTTATTTAGCATTTGCATACCATAACAAATCCCTAAATTAAAAATTAAACATTAATTTTATTATAAAATATTTTTTTTTTAAATACAATCTTACCTAAAATTGGTAATCCTATTCTAAATATGTCTGAATCATATATTGGTGCGTCCATAGCATTAACTGAATTCGGACCTCCAGAAATTATAATTGCTCTAAA